GGTAGATCCTCATGTGCCATAATAATAGGAACTCCTTAGCAGGTAAATAAACAGGTAACAAGGTTACCCCAAATTTTGCATTTATTAGGAGTGCACAATACAGATCATAACTCTGGTAAGTGGATTCGAAGATACATTGAATGGCTTTTACCCCTTGCCCCTGCTTTTAACCCCTGGCTGAATTTCCAGTTCTTTCTAGCTTCTCTTCCCAATTATGTTATCAGTGTGACTGAACCAAATCAACAAACTGCATTTTCTGTAGTGCTTGAAATATAGGTTAGTTTGTCACTAACATGATGGAAAGCACAGAATTGTAAATTATTTTTTGGCAAGCAGGTGATACCTGAAAGTGTCACTGACCCATAAAAGGACCTGAGAAACCACTGACTGAAGTCTTAAAAAAAAAGCTCAGTGTATTTGCATCAAAGTAGAGCAAGTGGAGGTTTCTCCACCTATTTTGGATGTACTTTCGCTGTGGTGAAAGACTGTCTTGACAGTTAGGAGAAGATGATTTCTTCTTTTAACAATCAAAAACAAATCTGAGGAATTCCTCAAAACAGTCACTGAGAACCAATAGCAAACATGTTAGATGTCTCCCAAAATGTAAGATATTATATTAGTGCAAGTATTGCTAGTATTTCTTCAGTGTTTGATTGTGTCATGAACTTAATTTGCTTTTGCTGATAAGTTGATCAGCTCCCCTGAAAATAAATACCAGTATCATTGGTGTAATGATAACATATGCAGATGAGCATGCACACATCCAGATACTTATTTAATTTAGGTCGATCTGCTCATTGTCCCTGTAGGCTTTATTATTTGTCTGATTATAGGTCTCAGTACAAACTCATAACAAACATGAAAATAATACAAGGCCATAGCATACCATCAGTTTTCAGGCTGATTAGCTGATGATTTCTGTCTATAAACAAAGGGCACATTGCACATAACAAACATTGCACATAAATCTGATCTAAATCAACACAAAATAAAGTTAAGGCTCCAAATTCAATCTGTTTCTGTGTAACTCAGCTTGATATAGTGTTATTCAGGAAGCTGCCTCAAACACTCCTTAATTACCTTCCCCTTCCTCAGAACAAGCATCTTGATTGCTTGAATTTGGACTACACTGCAGAAGGCTGACAACCAGAGTTATCTTTTTTCTCCCAAGCTTGTTTAAGTCACTACACAAATCTGACATTATCCAACCAGCGCGGTGTTTCGGGGGTTTGGTCACCTCAACAGAGCGACTTTCTGAGGTGACCCTAGCCTCCGGCCCACGGGCAAGCACCAGCAGGATGCCAGCCTGTCTGAGTGACGCGTTGTAGCGACATTGTTTGCTGCCGCAAGAAGTAGATGGGTTCGCACTGATTTCCACCAGTCTTTGGAGATGTGGCCTGATTTACCAAAAGGCTTGATACAATGACAAAAAGAGGCCCCCTCTCACCCCTGACGCTAACAGCATCCTTGTTTCCTCAATACACATTCTGGTGCTTCGTGCCCTACGCTTAAATAAGGCAACCCATACAGATCACATTCCCTCAAGGAAACCCATCAGTGCAAGTCCGGAGCTGGAGGTGAGGCTGCATTAGCACACTCTCCATTACAACACCTGCAGACAAAAAGGAACAGGAAAAGGCAGGAGGTGCAAAGACATTAGAAAGAAGAAGAAAAGATATTAGTCCCCATTACAGTCTTTTTCCGCTCTCTCCTCCACTAATTGAGGTGAAATATTTCTCTATGTGTTCATTTCCACATCTGCATTAAAAAAGAAAAAAAAACAGATTGCTTATATCAGTCCATGGAGTTTTGTTTTTCCCTGTTGCTCCATTAAATAAAGGTTTTGTTATTACGTGTTTTCCTGCAAAGTACGATGCTGAAGGTGGGTGGAAGTATGCTTGTGGCATAGAGGGATGCTCTAAACCAGACAAGTACCTGAACATACAAAAAGAAAAAGAAAAAAACTCTTTTATCTGTGAAGAGCTCTTCTGGGCTTTCATCAAACATTTTTTCTTTGTTTTATAAAAAGCTTCATGCACAGGGGCAGAGGAGGGACAGCAACAAAGCACAGAGGGGAAGAACTTGGGTATGGTTAATTCATTCTCTCACAAAGCAGCAAACTTTCTTATGACCACAACATGGGAGTGAAAGAAAAAGAGCACATTAAGTGATGTCTGTGAGTTGTATTTGTATTTTGAACTTGAGAAAGCAGGTTGGACAGCAGTGAAGGTTACCGGGGCTATCTGGGGGAGGGGTATAAAGTTGAAAATCTTGCTTAGAAAGCGTTAACTCCAGGTTTTGCACTCTCAAGACACACACACACTCATGCACACACGTACCCACCTGGTTTTGATCACTAGCAAAAGCTTTGCTTTAAGAAGAGTTTCGAGGAGTTCTGATGATGAATCATCACTGACGAGGAGCAGTAGTCCAGAAAACAGACGGATTTCAGTCACTCGGTATCGGAGCTAAGGGGCTTTTCCCCCAATTCCCGATATTTTGGGTCTTCATGAGAGCCCATGCGGTAGCACAGCCAAGACGCCTGCAGCCTCACTGCCCACACGGCCTCCAACGGGACATGCAGGAATACACGGGCAGGAATAACAGCCCAGCCAAAGAGCCGCATATTCATTTCTCCATCTCCCTCCCCCGCCCCACTTTTCATTTCATATCAGTATCCCTGGCTGCCAAGAGCTGTGGTGTTTGGTGAGGGAGCACTAAACACATTATAGTGCTATTTTAAATGACATCACAACTAACTAGATATTTTAATTGAAGGTAAATAACCAACATTATTGCCATTTGAATGATAGCAATAGTGGAGAGTAATGGCACCACTGAGGAATCAGTTGCTATTTCCCTCATAAAGCGTAAACCATTCAGAGATTTATAATGCTTTTTTAATGATCAGCCCTTCTAGGTGTTGAGCAGCTCCTCCGAGTCTCCTGGTTGCTTGTTGAAGTCAACAGGAATGGAGTGGGGGGGTCTAAGCATCATATCTCTTTGTGCCCCTCCAGATGAAACTTGTCATGCCGGCTACCAGCCTCAAGCAGAAAAGCACTTGGGATTTCACTGTGCTGCCCTGATATGGTGGGACCAAAGCCTCAAAACGGGAGCCTTTGACTCAATCGCTGTTTCTTAACCTAAGAAAAAAAAATGTATAGAGCTTGTTTGCATTCGTGTGCATTTCATGCCCTCTTAAGGTAGGTATAGCAAGTAACCTTGCTGTAAGAAAGCATGCATTTGCTCGCTTCCATCTACATGCACAGATGTGTTCCCTTCAAATTTTGTCTATCCTGAGACTGTTTGAACTACCATGGTATGGCATGGCATGGCATGGTATGGCATGGCATGGCGTGGCGTGATGTACAAAACATGCAAATCTGGAGTGCTGTCAGTGGACATGTCTCCTGTGCTCCCCTCCTGGAAGGACCATTACTGTGCCCTGACACTCCATCAGGTCCTGAGGAGCTGTGGCCCAGATACAGTGTCAATGGACAGGTTTATTTTTTCAGCTGCCATGAATCATACATTCACATACTCAGACGTGCAGCCAAATTCAGCTTCCTTTACTCACAAGAGTATCCTCATTGAATTTAATGGGATTATCCTCATGAGAAAGGGCATGCAAGACCAGTAATTGTTTTCATTTTTAGCTTGTTTTTCTTTGGTTCTACATCAAAAGGAGCTTTCTCAAGCTGCACAGAGTATCTACAATCTGATCTGAACCCATCAGTTCTGAGATAAACTGGCGCATTGAAGCACTATCAAGTATCTTGTGACAATACTGCAAGAGCTGGTAACAAAGAGAATGAATCTCTACTCTGGGTATTGGAAGAGATGCATGAAAACCCAGCCAAGGTGGATGAACTCCTCCAACCAGCCAGCCAGGAAGGGACCATGCATTTAAAGATATCCAAAATTATTTTAAATTCCATACTTGATCTGGTTAGAAACAAGAGTATTAATCCCTCATATGCACTCATGTCCTGAAAAAAATACTGCTATTAATAGGACAAAAGCAGAATAGCAGCCACCAACCCTCCCTTTGTGTGTGTCTTCAGGGATGAAGAGGTTCGCTATACCTACCTCCATGGCAAGTATAATGGGGGCTCCAACCCATTTCTAGGCCAATTTACTTAGCATCTGCTGCACATCCAATCTAAATTTTGAAAAAGCATTGGACCCAACCTGCTCCCACTTAAGTCAATGACAAAGCTCCCATTGACTTCAAGGAGAGCAAAAGCAGGCCAGTTGTTAACAGGAATTGGTGTCTATTGTTCACCAGAGCATGTCGGGCTAGCATGTATCAACTTCATGAGTATCAAAGGGAGTTACTAGAGGAAATCCCCTGAATATTTATGTCTTAGTCGGAGGGGAGGGCTGCTTTCCCTTTTCCCACATATTTCTATTGTGATACCTTAGCTGCGTGAGCACATACGACCTCCTCACAACTTCAACAAAGCCCACAAACCCACAGATTTCCCCCCGTATCCTCCACTGTGCAAGCTGCCTAATGGAAAAACAGATCCGTTGCCTATCATGGCATATCACAGGATTCCAGAAACACTGAGTCATCTTTGAGACTTCAGTGTGGTCTCAGTGGCTTTTCTATAGTGCCACTGGAGAGTGTGTGTGAACACAGGTATAATATGCTCAGATTGGCTTCAGGAGATCTAAAGGGGAACCAGTTACATATTGGGGTTTCCCACAAATTTCCAGTGAGATCAGATTACTTCCTAGAAGGGATTCTGTAAATAACAGAACAATCCAATATTACACTATATCTAGTTTCACATAGATTTTAATTAAGAACAGAACAGCAAGATTATAGTCTGCATGCTTACCATAATTTACATATTTTGGGGGAAAAAAAGAGCCTAGCAACTCCATCCATATTATGAGCAGTCCAAGAAGCAAACAGAGTGTAACCATAATGTGCACTTTGGGGCTCATATAATTTCCACCTTGTGAGACACAGGGACTGCAGGGAGTGGCACTTCACAGAATAAAAGCAATGACTGCAGCAGAATAGAGTTCACCCAGCCTGTAGCTAATGGAAATATGTCTTCCCATCGTCCTGTCATGATGTAGCACACACATCTAGACTGCAGCCAGACAAAGATTAACACACGTACTTAGTTTTTGTGCCTCAAGGAGCCCAACAGCTGCTGGTGGCACTGGTAGCATGGGGCAAAATCGGCAAATAATAGTGTGGGTATGTGTAAGACGGAACTTCAATGTTTTTAGAGGGGGTGAGAGCATCCAAGTGTGCTTCATTAAACTCTTCGGATGATCCAGTCTCACCACTCATTCAAGTCCCGGGCTTGACAGCTTCCCACTGTATCCTTTATATATCACCCGTTGTGACTAAGCATTGAGGGGACATGCAATCATTAATCACCATTATGGATTTCTTCCCTTCTGCTGGGTTTGACTTACAAGCTTCGGGGCAAATCCTGCAGCCTTTACTCCTTCCCGCAGCCCTTTGCTCATGCGAGCAGCCCTACTCCTCTGGCCGAGAGCTGGGAGTAGAAGCAGTGATCGACGCAGTCGCAGGACTGGGCACTGCGTTTCTTCCTCTCGTGTCCCATTCGGACGTGCACCGGCTCTCAGTCCTTAGAAGGAATTAACAGAAAGTTTGAGTGAGACATTATTAAATTAAAAGGTTGCAGCCTGCCACACGATGACTTAAGCAGGACTCTGGAGTACGCGCCTGTTAATTTTAATGCTCTGCCTCTGAGTACAGAAGCCTGGACATTTCCAGCATCATATTTAAAACATGGTACATCTACTAATACGTGATCTGGTGCATTAATGGAGCAAATTAAGTTACAGGTATGAATTTTACATAAAACGGATTAATATTATATGTCATGGAGGAATTTTAAATACTCCATCCCCATGCATTTTTAATAGTTATGTGCTCTAATTTAATGTTCCCAGGCACTGCTCTGCTTGAGTCCCTAAACCCTTTCCCTCCCCCCACCCCCGCCCCCGTCAAGTTTTGCTTGGGATCTTCCCAGCCTTCAAGCGGGCGTCCCAAAGTACAAATAGGTGCAATGGGGGAGGTGGGTAACAAGCA